CACAGTGAGTCCAAACAGAGTTCAACACTTCAGAAGTGACTCTGTTTCACTCATCTGTGGAGGAAACTCGACCACCTGGAGAGTGAAGAGGTTCACAGTAACAGGATATCTTTTAAACTGCTTCTCCTGGGGAACAATGACTGGATCCAGATGTGAGAAACAGCTTTCCTCCAGTGGTGACGGAGTGTTCTGGTGTGAGTCTGAATCAGGAGAGTTCAGCAACGCCGTCAACATCTCTGTACAGGGTCTGTTCTGATCAGTGTTCTTCTGTCTACCATTCCTGTAGCTGTGTGTGTCATCATGTAGACAGAAACTCATTCTTCCAGCTCACTGGTCAGAAGAAAACTGATGTCCTCTGACTGTTTTACAGCTAATTATGATGATGGTCTCATCCTGGAGAGCCCCGTTCATCCTGTAACTGAGGGAGCTTCTGTCAGTCTGAGCTGCAGACAGAGAGGAAGAGCCCCACTTTCCAAAGTGGATTTCTACCACGACGCCAAACTGGTGGAGAATGGCAGCAGAGCGGAGCTGAACATCTCTGCTGTGTCCCAGTCAGATGAAGGTTTCTACAGGTGTGAAGCATCAGGGAGGCGTTCAGCACAGAGCTGGGTCTCAGTCAAAGGTCAGCAGGGCTCCTTCACAGCTGGAGGATGAAACCTTCCTGTGGATGATTCTGCTCATCTGTTGTGTACAGCAGGTGTTTCCAGAGCTGAGAGCTCCTCCTTTCCTGTTCTGATGGTGGTTGGAGCCGTTGTTGTTGGAGTCTTTCTTCTGGTTCTGCTGCTCTTGTTTTATAGATGCAAGCATTCAAAAGGTGAGATCTTTTATTTCCTTCTTCACATTGGTGTCACGTCTGGGGGAATGTCTGGTGTCTCGTCATGTCTTGATTACCTATTGTGTACACCTGGGGTTCCCCTCCCTCATGTGTTTAAATAGTCCTCGTTTCCCATGTCCTGTGCCAGTGTGTTTTTTTTTCCTTCGTCACTTTTCGTCACCCCTCGGCACATAAGGTTTTGATTTATGCACTTTTCCATAGTCTTATTTTTTGTGCCATAGTCTTATTTTTGTCACAGCCTTGCCATAGCCTTGTTTTTGCCACAGCCATGTTAATCTTGTTTGTACTTTTGCCATAGCCTTGTTTTTTCCACAGCCATGTTAATCTTGTTTGTACTTTTGCCATAGTCTTGTTTTGATACTTTTCCACAGTTTTGTTTACTTTATTTGATACTTTGATCATAGTTTTTGTCACAGCCTTGTTTTGAACCTTGTCGTCATCCACTCCGTTTGACTGCCTTTTGTTACAATAAACCCTGTTTTCACGAATCTCCGCGACTGAGTCCTCCCTAAGATCCACCCCTCGTGACAATTGGCCTATTTAAATCCTTTTCCATCACACAGGTACATACAAAGTTATCAATTTGTTTCATTATGGAAACAAATTGGATTCTAATCGGCTTGAGTCACCCTGTATTCTCTATTTGTTTTAATTTTTGCGTCATATCAATGGAATTGAAAGAGAATATTGTCTAAAATAACTGTGTTTGTTCACAGGTTCCTCCGGCATCAGGTCAGTAAATCAGTCCTTACTGTCTCATCTCTAAATTAAACCATCAGTGTTGAACTTTCTGGTGTTAAACTGTTTGATTCTCCATGTTTTAGGTCGGCCCGGTCACAGAGCCCCCCCCAGAGCTCCAGCACAAATCACGAGCACGGTCAGTTTTCTAATTTTTAATGACACCCTGAACTGAACTTATCTGATCTCGGTCTTCATAAAGAACGAGAAAAAATGGGACAATCAAAGGTCAAAACCCTCTCTTTGTTCGTATCTTCAACTTGAACTTTACCAACCCAGCACAAAGAAACAGATTTGGCCATTTTGTCCAAACACCACAGACACAAAATGATCTGGTTTGTGGTGTAAAATGATGGTGAGCTCAGGATACTGACAGATTTTAACCCTTTGATGCTTTTAAATCACAAACAGCAACTAAAAGAAAACAAAAGACAGAAGTTATTCCTTTAACCCTATAATGCCATTTGTATCATATTTGATACAAACGATTTCTGAAAAACTTTGCATCTGAGACCTTTTGCATCATTTCATGGTAAAAACTTTGTTCAAAATCTTGTTGTACA